ATCCCCCCTTAGTCTCCTCTTTTCCAAGCTGAAAAGTCCTAGCCTCTTTAATCTCTCCTCATATGGGACCCGTTCCAAACCCCTAATCATTTTAATTGTCCTTCTCTGAACCTTTTCTAATATCAGTATATCTTTTTTGAGATGAGGAGACCACATCTGTACATAGTATTCAAGATGGGGGCATACCATCGATTTATATAAGGGCAATGATATATTCTCCTTCTTATTCTCTATCCCCTTTTTAATGATTCCTAACATCCTGTTTGCTTTTTTGACCGCCTCTGCACACTGCGTGGACATCTTCAGAGAACTATCCACGATGACTCCAAGATCTTTTTCCTGATCCGTTGTAGCTAAATTAGCCCCCATCCTATTGTATGCATAGTTGGGGTTATTTTTTCCAATGTGCATTACTTTACAGATAGATGAGCTGAGCCCTGTAGTCATGTCACAGGGTGGAACGCACACACTGGATTTTTCTGTCCCTGTCTCTTTTTATTCAGGCTGTTGATAAGACTGTTTTAGGGAGCATTTTAGCAGATTTTCACTCTCTCTCTCTCCCCCCGCCCCCCCTCCGGAATTACTGGGTGAGTTCTCTGGCCTTTATGCAGGCCATATTAGCTGATCAAAATGATACGTTTTGGCTTTGAAATCTATGATTCTGTGACAAGTAGCAATTCTCACTGTCTCAGAGACACAGACACATGTACCTTGTTGGCCAGGCCTGTGTCAGCTGCCATTCTCTCTCTCACACGCATGTATGCTGCTGTCAGAACTGTGTAGCACTCTCTATAGACACACGCTCAGGGCTGTGTCAGTTCACACACAGACGCGCACATGGTTTTCTCACATGGCTAGGACTGCTGCTGGCCTCAGGAGAGCGGAGGGCCCTTTGCCCACTAGGAAAGGTGAATGAAGGAGAAAAGCAAGGATCCCCTCAGGAAGCTGTGCTCCTTAAGAGGACAGGACGTCTGTCTCTCTCCACCTATCTGCTAACCCTGCTGGATCCGCTTAGCCCCTCACACAGAAGACTTCTTCTCTGTGAAGCCCCTGTGGGTCCTACTGAAATGGATGCTCCAGTGTGAGCCATAATCTACTCTGATCTTTTATAGCTAAGGAAGTTCAATGTTTTCTAGTTCTCTAACTAAGGAACTCACATGGCCCCCATCACCAAAGAAACCGAGCATCTTCAAACTCCCAACGTGTTTCTCCTCACACCACCCCTGTGAGGTAGGGCAGGGCTGTTATCCCCGTATTACAGATGGGGAACTGAGGCCCAAAGTGGCTAGGTGACTTGCCCAGGGTCATATGGGATGTTTGTGTCAGAAGAGGAATCAAACACAGGTGTCCCACAGCCCAGGCGAGGTCCCTATTCACTGGACCATACTTCATCAAGTCATTAATTAAGCCTCTAAGCACTCCGGTGAGGGAGGTATTATATCCATTTTATACAGAGAGTGCACTGAGGCTGCCCAAAGCCACAGATCAGCTCAAAGGCAGAGCCAGAGCTAGAAATGGAGGCCAAGAGTCAGGACTAAGGCTGGGTGACTTTTTATTTTGGCTAATAGTAAACTCACCAGAAAATGCATTTCTCTGGGCGCTGAAACTATTTGTGAATTTAGGTCAAATTCGGCAAGTAGCTTCAACTGAAAAAAAAACGGAAAACAAGGATCTTGGAAATGTCCGAAACGTTGAGCTGAAATGACAGTTTTTAAATGTTTCGTTCGACCTGAAGGAAATGTTTTCAGGTTTTTTATTTCATTGAGAAGAACTGAAAAAACCCCAACACCTCAATTTGAGTTTGAAATTAACTGATTTTTTTCTTCGGTTTTTCAATTCGGCCACCAAATCGAAAAATCAAAAATGATTCCCTCAGCTCTAGTCGTGCCTTTGAGTCCTCTGTTTCAACCACGAGCGGACACTTCCTCTCACATCCCAAACCAGTGGACACAGAGGCTGCCCTTGGCAGAAGAGTGAGCTAAGGGAGAGGGTGAGGAAGGATGTTCCAGGCATACCTGGCACGTTTGTCAGCACTTCACTACTTAATATGAACGTTATAATACCTAATCCATTTTAAAGGTCATTTCCATTGCTAAATACATGTTCTGGTTTTCTTGAATTAAACAATTCACTCAAACGCCTCCGCTCGCATTCTGACTCTGGCACAAAAGAAGCATAAATCTATATAGAAATATTTTTATATTTCCTAGTCAAGCTACATTTCTAAACTGGGGGATTAAAAAAAAATGTTGGCTGCTGAATGCCTAGAAAAATGAAATATGAATCAGCATCAGACAGTTCCATGGACATGGGAACGAGGGGGTCTGAAAGGAGGGGTGCAGAGATGAGGCTGGAGGTGTTTGTCAGGAGGGCAATGAGAGAGAGAGAGCCCTGTTATTGTCTGTGTTATGGTAGCAGCTGGAGGCCCCAGCTGAGATCAGGTGCTAGGTGCTGTACAGCGCAATGGGGCCTTGGCCTTGGCTGGGGTCTCCAAGTGCTACTGTTATTAGTTATTCCTATTATTACAGAGATATTTTGAAATCATGATAACTCAATGCAAGTTTTTTTGTACCTTCCTCTGAAGTATCTGGTGTTGCGACTCTTGGAGACGGGATAATGGACGAGATAATGGGATGCGAGGAGTTACAGAGGGATCTCTCCAAACCGGGCGACTGGGCAACAAAGTGGCAGATGAAATGCAATGTTGATACATGCAAAGTTAGGCACATTGGAACAAATAATGCCAACTATACGTCTAAACCAGCTGTTACTACCCCAGAAAGAGATCTTGGAGTCACCAGAGATAGTTCTCTAAAAACTTCTGTTCAGTGCACAGCGACAATCAAAAAGGCTAACAGAATGTTAGGAGCTGCTGGGAAAGGGATAGATAATAAGACAGAAAATACCATAATGCCACGATATAAATCCATGGTGCGCCCACATCTTGAATACTGCTGCAGTTCCGGTTGCCCCATCTCAAAAAGAATATAGTGGAACTGGAAAAGGTTCAGAGAAGGGCAAGAAAGATGATCAAGAGTATGGAATGGCTTCCATATGAGGAGAAACTAAAAAGATTAGGGGTGTTCAGCTTAGACAAGAGTTGACTAAGGTGGGATCTGATAGAGGTCCATACAATCACAAATGGTGTGGAGAAAGTGAATAGGGAAGGTTTATTTACTTTTTCCCACAATACAAAAACCAGGGACCACTTGATGAAATTAATAGGCTGCAGGTTTAATACAAACAAGAGGAAATACTTTTTCATACAACGCACAACTAACCTGTGGAACTCATTGCCATGAGATGTTGTGAAGGCCAAAAGTATACCTGGGTTAAAAAAAAAGAACTGGATAAGTTCTTGGGGACAAGATGGTCAGGTGTGCAACCCCATGGTTGAGGTGACCCTAAACCTCTGACTACCAGAAGTCAGGGGTAGAAGACAGCGGCGGATCTGTCCATAATTGCTCTGTTCTGTACACGCCCCTTGAAGCTCTGGTAAAGGCCACTGTTGGAGACAGGGTACTGGGCAAGATGGGCCATGATCTGACCTACATGGCAGCTCCTGTGTTCTTATTAGATGGACCACAGGTCTGATCCAGTCTGGTGCTTCCACTGTTCCTGTGTTTTTACCTTTCTAATTAGCTAACTAAAGAGAAGGGTTTTTTGTTGTTGTTGTTGTTGGGGGGGGGTTGTTCTGTTTTAAAATGGAGCTGATCTGTAAGCTATAACTGGCTGTAAAATATTCATGCCCATCATCTCTGTCCCCAGGAATATTTCATTTGATACAGATCAAGAAGATCAGGAAGCAGGAGTTCAACCCAGAAGCACAGAACTTTAGGCTGATCACCAGAACAAATGAAGGTACAAATAAAAAGCAAATCTTTACTTCTGTAATCTCCTGGCAATAGCAGACTGGGTTCTACCGATATGTGTTCTGGACTCATTAGTCATCCCGTAAAGATCTTTTTTACCCCACTGAGCAAATGGGGGGAAATGAAATACAGTGTGAGCAAACTGACTTGTCCACATTTAACGAGGGGCACAGACTAATTGTCTTTAAACATGTGCACAGTCTGCTTTGTTACCAGTCACATTTTCACTTTATAATAATACTTGAAAGGCCAGCCAAGTTCCTTCAAGTGGACACATGATTACGCAACCCAAAGGTTACATCTCTCCAAAGTCCGTAAAACTGTTTGATTTTTATATCGAATCCATCTGGCATTGCCGGAAAAAGTGATGCAATGGCTTTGACAAAACACTCCCCGAAATATTGAAATCCTCCTTAATGTTCCTGGAAGTGTGAAACTGTTGTAATAACCTGGCACCACCAGGCCACATGCTGACAGAGAGTGGTTGTGGAGGGCTTGAGCTGCACAGTCATTCACTGCTTGGTCCAGGCCAAGACTGATCATCTGATAGCTGTTCAGCAGCCTGTGTAACAGGAAAGTGAGGTCTCCGCTCAGTGGAGCCATGTCAGAGAATCATAGAAATGTAGGGCTGGAAGGGACACAAGACCAGCCAGGAGTGGAGGAAGCTTCCTAAAAGTGGGGGGGCCACTGGCACCCAAACCGTGCCCCCCCCCGCCACTCCCTGAGGCCCTGCCCTCACACCACCCCTTCCCTCACACCACCCCTTCCCCCCAAGACCCCACCCCCTGATTTCTCCTCTCTGCCCCCTCCCCTTGTCGCTCGCCCTTACGACCGGTGAAAAGGGGTGGGGCCATGGGCCCCGGGTGCCCCCTGTTCCGGTGACCCTGAGTCCAGCCCCTTGGTTTGTGGCAGGACCTAGTAAACCTAGACAGTCCCTGACAGCTGTTGGTCCAACTGTAGCGAGGCGCAGCTGGGCCCCTCTAGCTTCTGCCCCTGCTGCCCTCACAAACCAGTCAGGGACGCCTCAGGTTGATGCAATCGCCAGTGTATTTTATTTATATCTATTTCCCACCACTACCACCTTACTATCTATATACAGGAATTTACAGCCAGGCTTCACAAGCAGCGGACCAGAGCCACCAGTCCCTCTCAGCCTCTGGCCTCTCCCTGTATCTCCCTCCCAGCCTTTATAGCCCATGGCTACTTAGGCTGGCAGGTGTTTCTAGTTGCCAAGCAGGCAGGGCTATTCAGCCAGTCCCGATCCATTCCCCTTGATTGGGGCTGGCGTGGCAGGGGGCTGATTAAGCGCTTCATGCCCGGCACCCTGTCCCACCAACCTGTTCTTAAAAACCTCCAATGACGGGGATTCCACAACCTCCCTTGCAAGCCTATTCCAGGGCTTAACCACCCTTAGAGTTAGAAAGCTTTTCCTAAATATCCTAATTTCTACCTCACAAATCCTTCTGTTACAATTAGCACTGATGGGCACTTTTGTCAGCAAAGGGGCCAGGGACTGAATGCATAGTGCAGGTGGAGATTCCCGCTCCACCTGGAGAGGGTCCAGCTAGGAGAGAGATGAAATGTATATCAGGCCTTATCCAAAGCCCATTAAGTACATGGAACGACTCATTGAGTTCAGAGGGCTTTGAAGCAGGGTTGTGTGGGATTACTTGCCATCTGTCTGGTGGATAACTAGAAGACTTTAGTGTCTGAGGCCATCAGTCCATGTTTCCCTTCTTGGTCATTTCATGCATCCAGGTAGAGTTCCTCTAGGCAGCATCAACCGACTCCATGAACTCCATTGCAGAGCAGCGGTGCTGTAGGGAGAGCTCGTTTTAAACCTTTGACCCTTGCGCCTGTCCCTGATTTTCATTCTTTGTCTTCCGTGTGCACTTAAATCCTGGGTTATGTGGCCCCTCCCTCACCTGAGGAGACAGGGCCTTTTGTTGATCTGGTGAGCTGTGCTCACAATCTCTGGATTTAAATAGACTGGCACCTTTTGTGAGCACTCACATTCCTGAGTCATGCACAGCGCACCATTGTTTAAAGTCACGCACAGCAGAGATTTCAAGAACAAAAATTAATTGGGCTGCAAAATGTCCAAGGCAGAAATGCCTAAAATAACTGTTTAAAATTCCTTTTGTTCATCCTTATTTCGCCCACACAAGGATTAACACCATGTCATTGTGATCCTGTTTTTCCCTGATGAAGCTTCCGATGACCTAAACACCCTGCCCGCTGCGATTTCACAAGTGTGCTGCTCTGAAAGGGTCTGTGGTGTGAAAAAATAGCAATGTTGTGAAATCATCAATTACAGTTACCGAGATTTCTAGGAAAGCCTTGGCCAGCAATTGCCCAGTGACAGGAGACTAATTCAGCTAGAAAATATTCCTCTCGGATATGACAGTATTAGGGATACACAATCCTTCCTGGGATTAAAGGGGCTGAGATCAGCTACGGGGAGAATAAGGAAGGTTTCAAAGTACTGTATAGAATATTGGAATCAGAAACTTACTAGCAATACAAAAGACAGCCGCCCCAACATCTTCCGTGGCTGATTTTCAGATGGGTGTACAATGATTATTGTGATATTTCACAGTAAAATAAATCTGAACCAATATACAACAGCACTTATTTGTTATAGTGTGTGTCCTAGCCATCTGAAATACATATATATATATATATATATCCCCTTTACCATAGACTCTGAGCACCTCACAATTTGTAATGTATTTATTCCCTTAGCACACTCGTGAGGTAGGAATGTTTTATTATCCCCATTTTACAGATGAAGAAGTGAGGCACACAGAGACTAAGCCCTGGTCTACACTGGGCGGGGGGGGATCGACCTAAGTTACACAACTTCAGCTACAAGAATAGAGTAGCTGAAGTCAATGTATTTAGGTCGACTTACCGCTGCATCTTCACAGCGCTGAGTTGACTGCTTCCGTCGACTCTGCTTGCACCTCTCGTGGCGGTGGAGTACAGGAGTCGACGGGAGAGCGCTCGGGGATCAATTTATCGCGTCTAATCTAGACGCGATAAATTGATCCCCGAGCGCTCTCCCGATAGATCGCTCATTACCCGCCGATCCAGTGGGTAGTGTAGACCTGCCCTAAGTGACTCACCCTAGGTTATACCGAAAGTCTATGGCAATACTGGAAGTTGAACCCAGCATTCTCGGATGCCAGGCTACTGTCCTACCCACCGGGCCATCCTTTCTCTCTGACTCAGCTGACACTCTGTATGCGTTTAATGCCAATAAGAGCTAGGCAAATACTGCAAAATATTTTCCACTTGAATTTTTAATCTAAGGTCCTTCCCAGCCCTTTGTACAGTCGTATGCCAAGGTTTTACTAGCAAGAGCGTTAGCAGAAAAGGAATTTTAAATTTGTAATCCAGAAATCTAGGAGAAAAGGAATTACACTTAGCCAATAAGAGGCCAGAAAAAAAACCATCACAGGGGGGTTACGACCAATCACAACAAGGTTGTGGTTTGTGACCAATCACAACGAGGTAACAGAATGTGAATTTCAGATTTCCAATGATGAGCTGGAGAGTTAACAAATTTCACCCCCAAAATGTGTTGAATTGGTTTTAACAATGAATACATTTGAGAAAATTGTGATATTTTCTTGGATGCTCTGTGAACACAAAAAGAAGTGCAGTTCTTCCAAAAACCACACAATACAAATGATTAGTTCCAATAATACTTAACACTTATATCACTTACCATATTGAAAGTGCTGTACGAAGATAAAGGGCCAGATTTTGAGCTGGTGTCAACTGCCTTCACTAGCTGAGGATCTGGCCCTAACTAATTAAACTGCCCAATACTTTTCAGCGGTAGATGAGGATTATTTAATCCCCATTTCACAGATTGAGAAACCTTGTAGGTTGGGTGATTTGCCAGAGATTACACAGGAAATCTTGGGCAGAGATTGAAACCACATCTCCTGACACCCACATGCTATTTTGAGTAGTTGTATTATAGTAGTGCATAGAGGCGCCCATTGAGATCATTCTAAGCATGGTATACACACATAGTAAGAGCAGTCCCTGGTCCTAAGATCTTATAGTCTAGGTAGACAAGCCAGAACTAAGAGGGAGAGGAGAAAGAGGCACTGACATGTGAACTGACTCGACCAAGGTCACACAGCAAATCAGTGGCAGAGCCAAGAATAGCATTCAAGTCTTCTGAGTCCCAGAGCAGTGCACTAGGGCTACACTGCCTCAAATCTGCCCTTCCTCCCAAGAATCATGGAATAGGTTGGAGTAACTCTGTGGAAGGTTTTAAATTGGAATGACCGGGGAGCCATTGGAGGATGTGATTGTTTCGTACTGTGAGTGTATTTCTGGGCAGTAGCTTGCTATATATGCTTGATTCTAGAGAGCTGGGATTTAGGGGGCCCAGAGTGGGAGGAGTCTTTGCACAGCAGTCTTATTTCCGTGTCAGTCATGCATAGCCTCCATTGCTATACAGGTTGAAAACTGTATAGCAGGAAGAAAAAGGTAATAGGACCCCTGGGTTGCTGGTTTTCTCTACATCTCCTTCCTTATCTAAGCCCAACACTAACCCTAACCCTAGGCCCTTCACTGTAGCTTTTGGGCAGAGGGGCCAAGGGCTTTTTCTATTTTGGGTTTGCGGTTCCAACTGAAAATCATAATGGAAAACTGATGTGGAAAGCCCCTAAAATCACCGCAGCGGGGATGGTTTCAGGATCTCCCCCTCGTGTTTGAAATCCCCATGCTCTGTGGAATCCCAAGATGGAGTCAGGGTTGATGGGGCACTACATTAACGCAAAAAAATAAAAACTAATGATAATGTACGTTCATTATTGGCAGGTCTCTTTGGTGAGATCTTACAGACGTAAACATCCTCCGTGAAGCATGGATTGTAAAGGCCTCAGGGCCAGGGCCGGCTCCAGGCACCAGCCCACCAAGCTTGTGCTTGGGGCGGCACCTGGAGGGGGGCGGCGCGGCGCTCTGGCCCCCAGGGAGAGCGGGGCCACGGCCGGGCTCGCCGCCCTCCCCCTGGCGCTC